AGGGAAAAATAATCCTTATTCTTTTCGATAATTTATTTTGTCGTCTTTTTAAAAATTTCTATCCATTTACTTAATTTTCGGCAGTTTCCTGAGCATTCGAAATAGGAAAGTGGTGAACACGTGCACAACACACGAAAAATGGTGACGTTTGATGACGTAAAGGCGCAAAGGAGAGGAGTTCGCTTTGATTTAGATAATGTAATAAGGCCGTACGAAACTTTAAATGAATACAGAAGAAAAAAAGTCTCCCAAAATTACCATATCTTTAGTTGAATGATGGTGGAATATTGTCCGTAACTTACTAATAAATCCTCAAAAGATCGCACGTTTGTGTCAGTTTGGTTCCTCAACTGTTTATGGAGACTAAAGTATGAACATCAATGAAATTCCGAAATTTAAGTTGGACTTATCCAACTTTATTTTTAGCGCAAAGATGAACAGTGTCACTGTTTTAGACAATTTGACGTAATAAGTCGTGCGCCGTAAGGCCATACAATAATAACATAAAATCTCATTATTCGTTTATTTATGCATATATCTTTTTGGAATTTGCTGTTTTTATTCAGAAAATATGTACTAAAAAGTAGTAAAAATATCAGAACGCAATGATAATTATTATTCAAGCAAGACAACTTGTCCACGATTTTACCTGACAACCCTCGTACATTCAGTGTAATTTCCCTTATGAAATCCATTTGAAATTCATGACATTCAAATCTCTATAACACACACAAAACCTTGTCACAAGGCGTTAGAATACACAGTAGGAACTAGACGCATTTTCAATTCTTTACGAACAACAAATCTACATTGTTTGACACAATTTAATGAAAAAATTAACCCTGTTGTATTAACTTTAAAAAACAGCAAATGTGCATTTGAAATGAATTTGTCGCTCTTTTTCCCTCGAAATGTTTGTGTGCGTTATTTAACCTTACGACGTCACAAACGGCTCTTACGTCTATAAACCACACCAGTTTAGAAGGGTGCTAAATCCTTATTAAAGATTACCAATATGAACAACTATGAAGAGAAAAAATAAACAATGTAAATATAAGCAGTGAATTGATATTTAAGGATGTCCTCGGTCCTATAACACACCTGGCCGTGCCGACAAATTATCATACCGCACTAACGAGCGGTATTCAAATTGTCGGCACGGCCAGATGTGTTATAAGACCAAAGACATCCCAAAAAATCAATTCAATGCTTCAATATCAGCTGATTTTTCCAGATAAAATATTCATTCTATACAGAGATCGTAGTTCAAAAAAGTGCTGCAAACCAACATAGATTCTATTCTATCAATTAAATGCAAAACTTACATGTTATACCGCTTGTTAAAAATTCTGTTGTTCAAATACATTGAAAATAGATATTTTTTTTTCATTTACAAGTTTTATCAGGTTTGAAGCACTTTATCTGCTTGTAATGTAAAGCTTGAAATATAAATTTGCAACAATCATGGTCATTCTTTCATTTCAACTTAATCAACATTTGAATTTTGTTGCAAAATTACCTGCAACTACAATTCCATGATCATCTTTCAAAAGATCGTTCTTCCGTTTTTCAATCATTTTAAGATACTCTGGGTAGGATTCCTGCAGACTTTTTCTGAGGCTCTCATCATACGCATCATTTTCAAGAATGAATTTAAGTTCGTCGAACAAGATACTTAATTCCTCTTCTGGACTAACTTTTGTCACACAGTCCCTTAGGGTGCATGAAATTGTATGAATACATATTCCATGAATCATTTGATAAATTGCTTAAACATGAGAAATATTTTCCTCAAAGTGTAATATTTGGCATACATGTTTATCTTTGTTTACAAATAACATTATTATTTTTCTTTTGTTAACTTACAATATTCATTTTGAATTCAATACACATACAGTTTGCTTCGTGATAGGGAGGTCGTGAGTTCGTATCTCGGCCGCGACTGACCTAGTCGTTAAAATTGGTAGCAACTGTTCCTTCGCCATGCGCTCTGCACTTTGAAGTGAAAGTTGCGGGTCCTTTGGATGAGACCTTAAAAACCGAGGCCCCGTGTCAGCGGCAGGCGTTGGCACGATAAAGATCCCTCACTGCTCAATGGCCCTGAGTGCCGAGTAAAGGTCAAAATTTGAAGCCCTTCATCAGCATACGTTGACGTCTCCATATGAGTGAAAAATTCTCGAGAGGGACGTTAAACAATACACAATCAATCAACCACATACAGTTTGTCGGCATAAAGCAATTCAGCAATGGGAAAATGAACCACATGTACTCACCTATAAGTCGATCTAAGGGGTTGATTTTTGATTTATACTCTTTGCTGGATTTTTAGGCGAGTCCTTAAATTGTCGATATTTTTTTGGACGTCGAAATCTAATATTTTAGACCACTCCGATGATTATCTTTGACAAATTTCTTATTATGCATTCTAACATGTATTCTAACATTGTGCATAATATTTTTTATTTAAACTCTTTGCTGGATTTTAGGCGAGTCCTTCAATTGTCGATATTTTTTTGGACGTCGAAATCTAATATTTTAGACCATTCCGATGATTATCTTTGACAAATTTCTTATTATGCATTCTAACATGTATTCTAACATTATGCATAATGTACAAGCTTTACATCGATGGTAGGGAAACAACGAACAGTATTCAAGTGTAAAAGTCCATAAAACATTACAAAAAGGAACAGTGCAAAACTTCAGAATTACACACATGAACTGAAAATGTTTAACATATCTTTAATAAAAATTTTGTCTTAATTTAATATTTATTAAGTATCAATTATTAAAATGAAAACATTTTAATACATTAACAACTTAATTATGAGGAAAAAATGTACCTCGGAAAATTTATAGTTTTAATCAATAACTCTTCTTTTTGAGGGCTAGAGATCTTATAAGTCGTCGGTGGAATCCATATGTCTTGTGAAACGGAATCTTCATATTCAACAGCAGCATGAATTTGATCATCCATCTTAGAATTCTTGCTTTTAAAACAATAAGAAAATATGGATGTTAACAATTATACAAATATTTGTTTTTATTTACATTATTTTCTTATAACGGAATTTAGTCGCCCGCGTGGCGCAGTGGTTAGAGCGTCTGCTCTAGAGTCGCGAAGTAAGGAGTCAATCCTTACGTCGCGGGTTTGAATCCCACTGCGGGACGTGGAGACCGGTCCTTCGGATGAGACCGTATAAACCGAGGCCCCGTGTCGCAGTAGGTGCTGGCACGAAAAAGATCCCTCACTGCTCAAAGGCCCTGAGTGCCGAGCATAGGACAAATTTGTAGCCCTCCACCGGCAAAGGGTGGGGTCTCCATATAAGTGAAAAATTCTGGAGAGGGACGTTAAACAACAAACAATCAATCAATCAATATAACGGAATTTAAATTCAAAGTAAGTCTGAAAAATCGAAGATGGAGATTATTTTACCTTTGATACACATTTCCTCCCGGCTCTTGTTTTTCGTTTAGCTAAAAGGAAAAAAAAATGCTATAAGCTACATTTCATTTAATCATTGCCTTTAACGGGAAATTTTTATCACCAACATTTCTTCCCATAAGTAAGTAAAATAGTATCTCTCTCTCTCTTTCTCTCTCTCTTTAATCTAGTTGCATGCTCTTTTAGTTTTTATATAGAACTGAAAATAAAAAAAAAATATCAAAAAATCTTAACCCTCACTTTGTAAACAAACTATTGGTATTGAGGTAATAAAACGACGTACATGCATTCCCACATAATCAGGTAGTAAACGGTCATGTATTTGTTCATGTTTGTCTAAGCTCTCGTCAGTATTTGATTTTGAGGATAAGAGGGTCCTCATTTGCACGATCGTCCTATCATCTATGGATATACTTGTATCTTCGTCTGTTCTTTCTTGTGAAGTACGTAAATTTCCTATGGCCACTTGTGCTTGTAACCTAAAAATGCTGTTGCTTCTAATTCACATTCAAAATGACATTTATTATAACTTAATCATCTAAATAACAGTAAAATTCCGTTATAAGGAAGTAATTTGGACTTCGAATTTTATCTATACCAGGTTCTTTTTTAAGATCCTTAAAGAGATAGGAAAAAGCGTAAACAATTGCTTATGAAATTCATGAAAAATTTCTTACAACTAAAATATCCCATACTAATTCTTTTTAGTTGACCAGTAGAACTGAAAATGAAGTCAAGTTCAATTATGACGTCATAAGGAAGGTACATGTAGCACTAAAAATACAGTTTCATTTATTTACTAGATATTGTCTTCTAGGCAACTTAAAAAATATCTCTTTTTCTTAATCCTTTTGAGAAAAAAAACATATTTCAGATTCAAATTTCAACTTAAAATGTCAAGGACATTACTCAGAAAAGCTGTATTCTATAGAGAATCCCTCCTGAACAATGCTTTCTACATGCAGACTTTGACATATGATAAATCACACAGATCCAACAATTAGGCATACCTGTTTTGGGTACAATATGAAAAAAAACATGCAGTAAATTAAATTTTCCTGCAAATTGTAGCCACAAGAATTTCTAATGAGAACAGAAAATCCATAGATCTGCACATTACAACCATAGCATCGCTATTAATTCACAAACCTCCAAAAATTGTTAATAGTCTTTAAATCCAACACAGGGGTATAAATAAATTCAATATTCATCAGAAATATGTATGTCATTACGTATAATTATGCACTCACAATGTTGACGTTGTATGTTCATGATCGATGGCTTCATCTTTCGGTTGATTTTCCATATTTTCTTCCAGTTTAGCTAAAAAGACATTCCTACTCTATAAAGATTGTTGAAAGTTTTCTTAATTTTATAATTATTTGTTTGCTTTCTGAAATCTTGAACCAATACGATTTTCTTTAAACTTAAAAAAAAAATCAACTGTCTGCCGCGTATACTGGAAGATAAAGGTACCAAAGCAATTGGCTATATGTATCTGAAAATTACATGGTCAAAGGGTTCAAATTGGTTTATCTTTTTTTATACTAGATCATATTGTAAACTTTATTTTAATCTTTTTGTTATGATGCATTAAATTACTGAATAGTTTAAACATGTTCGGTTATCAAATTGGTTATTAAAAATAATGTCTACACAATACATATTTGTTTACAAAATAACAGGATGAAATGCACTAATCGTATCTAACGCTTTGTATCAGAAATTGCAGAGTTAACTGATCTTCTTTCGAATAAAGATACTTCCATTTGGACAGTTCTGTATATACATGTATTTGAATGACTGAGAAAACTTTTAGGACTGAAATATTCCTTGTACATGTATAATATTATTACATTATTGCATTATAACCGAAAAACGGAGACGGCCATATGGATCGTCTTATTCCGTTAAAACCCCAGTCATATTTTCAAGAACGACGAACAGCCGACGTATCTTGAGGCAAAAGTTGGTTTCTTCGGGCGACAATTGACAGTTTTTTCGGCAATTGTTTTTCCCAATTTTGGCCTTTTTTTCCTCCTCCGAGGATAACTACAGTAATAAGTTTGTGGCATCTGATTTTGATCCTTACA